ATACATACATACATACATACATACATACATACATACATACATACATACATACATACATACATGTATGTATATATATATATATAGAGAGAGAGAGAGAAAGAGAGAGAGATTATGCATCTCATACGCTATGATTATGCTACGTGAAGCGACAGAACCAGGTAGCGGTTGCTCAGGTAGAGATTAGGCATTCCTAACGAAGCATAATTCCTTTTATTCAAGCAAATCTCCTCACTTCTGACTTCTTATGAGCACGAAAGCAAAATGTCTTACCTTCACTTTCGCCATATTCAGGCACCTCTCGTAGGTCGACATCTCTGTGTTCACTTTGTCTGCCAGGACCTTGGCGTCCACAAGAGACTTGGTTAAGAAGCTGAGTCTGTCATCATCTTCGTCTTTGTGCTCGTCAGACAGCTTCTCGAGTGCCTGTTGGTGACGATAGGATGTTGAAGGAAAATCCAAACATGAGTGGCTTGAGGAAAGCATCCCCAGCAAAAAAAATAATCATGGAGATCAACGGAAAAGATAAGCCGAATAAAAAATCTAGTCAGCCTAGATCACTCAAGGTGATGCAAGGACTGATAGTTGAATTTCCAATAGTGAACATGAGTAGACCTCAGGATGTAATTGAAGTTCACTAGGCCAAGCCTTCAAATGCTTTCACATGCATGGTAGTTTGCTAATTTTACCCTGCACACAAACTGAAGTTTAAATTGGCCCACGTGGATGAAGTTCTTTGGCACGATCTACCGATGGTCTCGAAGTATACTCACTACTTAGTAATGATGATTTGAGTAGTTTTGAATACTATCGATAAATGATGAATAATAAGCATATCTCCTTAAAACTCATATAATGACGAAGGAAAAGTGGTTGTGTAATAGTTAAAGTATCAGCAACGTATACGATCTAGGTTGAATACGATCCTTAATATATGAGGATTTGCTTATCTTAACTTCTGTACTACCCCTTAACCAGAGGTAGCACCGGACCTTCATAGCCTCAGGCTTTGCCTCTCCAAAGAAGAACTAGGAGTGAGAGTGAATGCTGGTTGGAAGTTAAATAAATAGTAACAATTAAATTAGAATGAGGCTCTACATTTAACGTATGGATAAAGGATAAAATCGAGCCCGTTGTCTTAGAATGTCGTAAACAATTAGTATTCTCTCAAGGGAATGAAATTCCAATTCTCTAATCAAATGAACAGGTTAAAACTCGGGCTCGGACGAATGGTCACTCACGAAGGCATAAAAAAACGAGTTCAACGTGTGAGAGATGAACAATTCCGAATTATGATGAGGCACGGGCCTATTTCAGGGGTGAGTAGTAGACGAATGATTCTGCTCTCACCTAACCAATAAAGGCTAGACTTTGATCAGAAAACCGAAACCCAAGCATTTCTCTCGATATGGAGGCGTAGGAAGAGCAAATGAAATCCGAGATAGAAATACAAAGAGAGTACAGATAAGTGGGGCCCAGAAATGTAGCAACATTGACTCAAACGTTGGTCAGCTCAAGAATAAACTAGTGTTGGGGTACTTTCTCGCCGGCCAGCATTTCGCGACAGGCGCCATTAAACTGGTGTAGTCAAAAATGTTATCTCGGCCAGCAGATATGTAGTCATAAGAGGGAAGAAAGTCGAAGCACGAGTTGTTGGGAAGACCAAGTCGTGTTGAGGTATGTAGGAATCCAAACGAATATTTTAAAAATTAACTGCTTAGTGACCCGAAATCCACTAGTGTAGTTTATAATGGAGCGGAAATGACCCTAAGAATGTCAAATGTTTCATATTTCTCCCTTCAAGCGATCACTAACTGAAGAAAGTGCTTGTCTGGACATCAGAAGAACCTACATTCCACCACAACCAAATAGACATCACCTAAATCAGCAAGCCTACTTGAACTTGGCGCAAAGATTCACAATGTCTGATATAAAATAGCTGAATTTTCCCTTTGCTCATCCAAATGAAACACAATGAAAGCGGCTTAGAGAACTTACATCAATTTCGTCGTTCACCTCTTCCAAGGTGGCAAACTTGCGCTCGAGGGCCTGTTCAATTGCTTGGACAATCCGGGCCAGCCAAGACTTTTCGGTCGAGATCAGAGCTGAATATAATAAAAATGATAAAATAAGAGATGATTAAGGAAGGCTTAAAAGGCTTTTTTATTGTTGAGACCCAGAATCCGGAGGTATTGGTTTACATCAACGTCACCCTGCCTTGTTAATGCGGGCCGGCAAGACAAATTCCCCCCGCCCCATACCAGTGGTCCTCTCACCGAGGAAGAACAATATGACTTTTATATGATTAAACGAAAAATCATGAAAAAAGGTTTTGGCATACATCACAATTTTGAAGTCAGATACTCGCAAGTTGGTGTAGGACACGAATGGGCCAAAACCATTTATTCGCTCAGATTTGCCTTAAACTCAACAGCTTCAGTTGACTGAGACCAAAAGCTCAAATGGGAATAAGGCGGATTGATGGACGTATTACCCCACAGTTGGCCCAGGAAGGGAAACCGGATGAGAGGTTGTGGATAAGAATGGTCATAGAAGTCAACCCCGGCAGTCTAGCGACTTTTTGGGCTCATACCTTGAACATGCCTCAACTAGTACTCGTCATTCCTAAGACATCCGCCACTGGATGGTCATCTGAGATGTCATTTCGCGCAAAGCGACCCAAGTCCACTCACCATTGAAATCCTCCAGATGATATTTAGAGGCGCGCAGTCGCTCCCGTTCTGCGCCCAGGCCCGACTCAAGATCGGCAAATCGAGCTCGTGCCAATAAGAGGGCCGCGTCGGGAATGGTACAAGACAAGGCGCCGGAAGCAGACGACCTAAATACGGCAGTTCGGGCGTCCAGAGCCGCGATGGTGCTGCGACGACAGGCGATTTGCTCGGCAAGGGTCTACAATCAAAATACAATAAAATAAGTCTTAGAAGACTAAGTTAACTAAGCCCATTTTTGAATATTATAATATTACCATTAATATAAATAGTATTTGCACTATTGTAATCCTTTAAATCGGTCTCGCCGCGTTTTTTTAGTCCATAAAAAGTGGATCGAAAAATCTCTTCTGGCCCTTATACACAAACGATGATAATGCCATCTGACGTTACAAGTCTGTTAAAGCTTGGATGCTGTCATTAGAGCAGCACAAGACACTTGACCTAAGTTGCAAGCACTTCAATTTCGAGTGATTACTTCAAATTAAGTGAACTTCAAATCCACCTGAATGCAAAGGACCAAATTTTTGTGCGAACTATGAAAAAGCAAGGATATGAATGCCAACCCATGATGGAAGCAAACCGAACCCAATCATCATAGCTGCATCATTTACTATTTTCAGCATGGCTTCTTCCAGCAGTTAACCTTTCAATAGACAAGCCATTACTCAGTCGCATAGCCCTGCAGTTAGCATCATAAATAGAAACAATAGCAACTGAATCGCAACTCATCACAGTGACTTGCCAATATGTTGACTCGTGATTTGTTAGTGATTTTCATTCTTTATGCTGATCGTGCCGAATCAGAAGACACTAGAGCAACCGAAGATGAAATCGCTTATGAGTCTGCTGCTTGAGGAATACAAGTGTGAAACGACAGATGGCGTAATCTGGGGCACGTTGCCCGAAGCCTCCCCATAGGCGTGTTCAAATTGGGAAAATGATACCAAAGTGAATACAAATCAAAGTATGCCGAAGTAATTTTAATTGCCATGGTATTTGTCTAAAAAATAGTGAGCGCTGACCAGTATTAAAAAGTGTCAAGAATGAATGAATGTCTTTAGGAATGATGTCCATCAGAACCAGGTTGCAGGAAAAAGATACTCTATCCAAGAAGAAAGTATAGTTACTTCAACAACTTACCTTGTAAACGTATTTCGCTATACACGTCAATTGCATGGAATACGAAAGTACAGCAATGTTTGGCTGTCTTCTG